GATCATGCCAGCCAAATTACTACTGCAATTACTACTGCAATTACATTTCTATTTATGATATGAGTTCATAATATTGCATATATCAAATTGGTAGCCTCCATGGAATTGAGCTGAAATTGATTTCAAAAGTCATGTAACATAGGAGCCTGATATCCCTTTAAACCTATACAGGTATCTGTACCTACATCTCATCTTGTACTTGACCTCAACTAGGTCACAATAACAATATTAAGATGGTCATAAATAGAGGGTAAGAACACCCACAAATGAATCAGATGAAATGAAATAAATATATCATAGTGTCAACCTAAACTTTTCACTGTTAAAATAATGCTCTGTACATCAATCACAGAAGACATTTGAAATATAGGGAAACATAGGCCGAATCATTTCAGTTGTATCAACCAAAACTATAATCATATATATCATTTAAAATATTGAGACTGGTAGTGTAATTCATACTCTTTGCAATATTTTGTAATATCACAGAACATGTAGAATACATAATTCTATGTCTTCAGAAGGATTTGGACGTTTGTCAACACTACTGATACTGTACTTTTACTTGCATATTTCAGATACATGCATAGTATAAGGAAATGTTATATTTCTAGCAAAACCAATGCTTTTATCAGATCAAAAGATCACAACTAACTTTATACCAGCTCAGGATTTTTTGATGAAATGTTTCAAAATGATTAGCTGTTAAATATCTTCTTTCAGAAAGATATCAAAATTATGTACTTTGAACCTAAATAAGTATATAATCAATATTCCACCACTGTCAGTCAATATAAGCTGATATTATATATTGAACTGATATAATATATTGACCAAGTACAATATAGGTTAATAAGTATTCATCATGCAATATTTATTTTTTATTCATTACTGATGCCAGCCTGTGATTGAGTTCGTAAAATCAACATATATTGTTATACATCAATATAGAGGTATATTTAGGTTATTGGGAGTAAATATAATAACAGAAGAATTATAGGCCTAGTATTTTGTTTTGATTAGCTCATTCAACCATGAGAATTAGGTTAAGTTAACATCTGTCCATCACATACACAGGTTAATGACACTAGTCACTGGACATTTTAAATATTGGGTGGGAATATATAGCAATTTCTATAAGTGTGTAAAACCGCCATATAATATCCAGTGAGATTTTTAGAAAATTGTGTCCATCAATGCTTTTCCTTTAAGTACTGTAACTTTCATATGAAATAATATATAGAATTTAAGTATAAGAATCATTTATAATTAGATGGGTTACTGAGACAACACTCACTAAAAATAGTAACAACATATAGAATGAAAGTTATCTAACCACTTATATTGAATTGCCTCAAGATATATCCAACCACTTGTTCTCAATATTGACATGACGTCATATCATATATTTATATTGTCTGATTGATTGAAAATGACACCTTGACACTGAAACTGACAGAATTTACTTACTGACAAATATATCATTTCTTTTAATACAGTTTTATGTACTTTGTTGCAATTGAACACTATAAAAATATTGCCTAAACTTTTCAGAGATAATGTCAAAGTTCTGTTACAACTTTAAAGTGATTCACAGACTTTACTTTAAGGGTTTTATTAGTACACTAGTGCATGTGTATCATTTTTACTCCCGGTAGGTTACACAATATCACCCTCCCTCCACCTCCCCCTCCACCCACCTCTTCCTTGCCACAGTATAGGCTATAATTTTATCTCCTCATTAAATTCATATAATAAGAAAAATAGTTGATTCCAGCCAAGATGATTCCATGATGACTATAGTAACTGATGTAACATCGATCTCAAGTAATAAAATGTCCCATACCTGTACATGGTTTCCAATTTCACAGTCAGTGTGTCTACATTCTACATTTGAAATGCAAATCTCATATTTGTAGCCTTAAAAAACCTTAAGTTAGACTTAGGCCACTGGTAGGAGGCTACAACTAAAACACTTTTTGATGACATTTCAATTATCATCATGATAGTCTAATTGTCTAAATGGAAATCAACAGACTGGACAAGAAAAATAATATCGATTGATGGAGAACTGGTCACAAAATCATTGTTAGAATTGGTTTATACCATGTTCAAATGTAAATAAATAAAGTAAGAAAACTCATAAGAAAACTCACCGAAAACATTCAGTGTGCCAATCTTTGGAAAGGGCTTGAATAAACGACTCACAATCTATAGTCCTTCCACAAGAACCACAGACATGCTCCTTCTCTGAAAGGTAAATGTATAAACATTCCAAATATCATAAATTTAGGAAATAACTGCAACGTCAGAAAGGTTCAATCGGAATACTTACCGGAGACCAAATTGTCATTCATTTTTTGTTTACACCATCTTTCATGATGGGCCTTTATTACTTTCAGTTTGAAGAGCTTGGAATTTAACAAAAATCAAACAGAGTTGTCTCCCATTTTTGCTAAAGACTACAAAAATTGTTAATGTCATTTTAAATTCATTTCTGGTATTTAAATTCTAGGATGAATTGTATGGTGCAATGTAGAGCTTTGACATGAAATTTTAAAGTAAGGACAGTTAGGCATAGCCCACCATCCTCTAGATGACATGTATCCTAGTGGTTTCCCCCTTTTACAAATTCCTCCCACTTGTAAAATTGGTACCCTGTTGTGTTCACTTATCACTACACTAACTTCGGTGCAAAGCTTTACTTGGAATGGGGGACCAGTATACCAAGTTGTTATCACCCTATCCTAAATAAACTGCTTTAATATTCTTAATCAAAAATTAAATTATTTATTAGCAGGCCTATTATGATAACTAAAACATCAATATCAATGACTTATTCAAAATCAAAGGATGACTCATGGTAAAATTGTTGTTAAACGACATGATATATATGTCATGTAATCAAACTTTATATGCCCTTAACTTATATACATTGATTGGGGGAGGAAGGCAGACGGACCACTGGGGACATGATGTTATTGTCAGAGTGCAGGTAGTAACAATGTCCCTATTCGACAAGAATCAAAATAACCACTAGGCAGATCTTGGGTTTTTGTGAGACAGTTTTGAAGTTTTTATTATCAGACAGAGCATTGTAATCAAGCACCGTTCAGGTTGAAAGTTAAATTTCGAGAAAGCTCTACATGCTATCACACTGACAAATTGTTATTAGAGTACAGAGAAGTACTCAGTTGTTATAAGAATGAAAACATGACTCTGGTTGGTAATGAGAAACTTGTTATTCAGACAATCACTATTGATATCAGACCAAGTATTGTTACCAAGTATTGCTCCGGTTGTAAGTTGTTATCAGACAGGGTTCATGCAAATAAAATGACAAGTTGTTATTAAAATGCAGCTAGTGACCCTGTAACAAATAGACAAAGACCCAGCTGTTATAACAATGAAAACTGGATTTTGATTGGTATTTCTGTGACAACAATTTCTCTTTGCAACCTACAACCCATATAATATAGAAATTCGGAACAAAAAAATACTTTTTTTGATTTACTAAGTTCATTTTTAATATGTAAGGCACCAATTATAGATCTCCAGCAATGGTTTTGTGCATAAATAATTGATCAAGATAAATAAATACACACATTAGCTAATAATTACAACAATATCCAATATAACATTAGAATTTTGATCCTAATGGTTATATGATATAACTGATCAGTATATTTTTTGTGCTCAGTATTGTATATTTTACACATAAGTCATTAAGGGTTATGGTAATTTCACTATGATAAGATCTGTTACTCAAATTAGTTGTTCGTTGTAAACATTAAAAATGATTGGCACTAAAAAATCATTTCATGTAATTATGTTATTACCTTATTTATCCTTGCAAAAACTGTAATTTTTGGGTTAATTACAATAAGAAAATTATTATTTGACACAAATGTTATTTTTTTGACAATATGGAAGAAGTCATGATTTTTAAATATAAAACATGATTTGAATAAATGATTCCCAAAAACAATTAATATTTTGTAATGCATGATTTTCCAGACACAACTCATAATACAATCATACAAATGTACATTAAATGCAGTGAAAAATCTTTTGAAGAAATCAATAAACACCCACAATGTCAAACACAATTTTTTTTATATTGGCCATTTTCAGAAGAAAGGAACAAATTACATAATTTAATTTTCAATTAATTTGATCACTCCTTCTTCTGATATTGGCTCATATAATGGAAGCAAGTTAAATAGTTACAAAAGTGGCTAAATAGAAGATATTAGTGAAAATAGTTTGATATTAACCTTCTTCTATACATGTATGTTCTTTTGGCACTCTTTTCAATTCGGATATGCTAAACTTATGGGACTACTTGCAATTAACATGTATTGTATCAATCTAATTAAGAAACAAATACCACTTTAAATGGTTATATAGAAAATCACACAAAAATTTCTGTCTAAACACTTCTAAAAGCCCAATTCCTAAATATACAAATAAAAGCAAAACTGAGCAAAATCAAATACGAAAGAGAACAATCTGGTTACTCATTAAACGCCCTACCTACAAAAAACAAAAATCAAACATTGCTTAATTCATAGGCTTTTTATAGAATTTTAGGATTTATATCATGTGTAATTTTCATTTTCCAATCCTTGATGGAAAGTAATTTGTTTCCATTGATTGTAGTTAGTAGTAAAAACTAAAACACTATATCTATGGTAAACTACATTATGTTTGTAATCATAAGACTGATTTATTGTACAGTTAGTTTCTGAATAACTTTAAAATATCTCAATTAACATTAGACTATTAACTATTCTATATTCTTTAATCAAAATGAGCTTAAATAAGTAAACTGGAATCCATGTCCATTGGATTTAAATAATCATCTTAACAATAAAGACAGCACACATAGCGTTATTGCCTGGTGCAGTTACAATATATATAAAGTAAGGCAATTGATATTTCAGATATTCATAATTTTGGCTAACAGATTGCATTCATTTTTTTCATCTATTTACTACACATTGTATTTTGGGAGTAACAATTAGTAGTAAAGCATATAAATATGTGCACATTCGAGGACTGCTGATATATATGTTTTCAGTCATACTTTGATTTTCACAAATATCTGTACCTCATATTATACAATATGTTGCATTTATAATTATTTACAAAATAAAACAACTCAGAATTTGTTGCAGGTTAAACCTGAAAATTATATCACAGAAAATCACTAGACAATAACAAAAAGATAACAAAATAAAAAAAAGTTAATAGCATAATTAACATTTTTAGAATTTTAACTGATTGAGAAATCTGCAATCTAATTAATCTCTTAATACTCCAAAAAATATGACCTTACAATATCATTTGGTATTAAAGTTACAAATAACTTAGATTATTAAATTCCATCAGTTTGTTATTTTATTTTAATGTCTGTAGACAGTTAAAACTATTCTGTTGAAGTTAAAACTCTACCCATTGCTTCTCCAAACTGAACTTTTTGGTTATTGTCTACTTTGAATTCAAAATCTTTTGGACCTTCAAATACTAAAACAATGGTAGAACCAAGGTTAAATTCTCCAAACATTTCACCTTTCTGGACTTCAATGGCTTGTTTAAATTCTTTGTCATAAAAACTACCCTCGGGATGTTTTAAACTGGAATTTGTAGTTAAATCCTGAAAAGAAAGATTAATTTTGCACTGACAACTCTGAAACAAAATGTTGCCATGGTCACATTTCTTAAGCTATTGTGTAATTCTTGTACTTGTACTTAGTTTGACCATTTAAAGCATTATCAATGAATCAGGATTTTACCAGTGAAACAAGGTTTGAATACAATATTCATACAGATTATTTTGGTTTGCCCACATACACTATGGTTGAATACTGATAAAATTGATATTCGGAGCTTTCCTATAAGTTCTACATCAATTTGTAGTGATAAGAGATGAGAGCAGCCACCAGAAATAAAACACAAACGTGACAGATATATTCTTGTAAGAAAAATTACTTACTTTATCACAGTATATTTTTATTGATCCCACATTTGTTGCTCCTACAGCTGTCATGGAGAAAAAACCATGTTCCCAATCACCCGTATATACCACCCGTTCATTGAAATTAAATAAACCTTGCACCCATCTGGCTACACCCGGACTCACACTCAGTAATTCGCCTGCAATAAATCAAATAACCCAAATTAATAGAAAATGCATGTGGAATCCTTTAACATAGAGGTATTCTCCAGCTTTTATAATTGTTACAAAATTTGTCTTTTCACTCAAACCTTAATGGGCAAAAGACCTCATTAGGAGATAATAGGTTAGTAATTTGTTTTCATACCAAATTCAAAAAGAAACAATTAAGTAGACTTGTCATTTTTCACTGTATATAAAAGAAGGCAAACAAAACAAAAACTAAAAAAGGTTGTTTTTGTCTTGTGATATTACATCTAGATTGTAAGTCAGTACATTTCTTTATAATTTTGGTCAAATATTCAAGGTCACACAAATCTTTGGCTTCTAGGGCCAAAATTTACCTGGAAAATGGCGTCTGTAGTTCATCGTCCAGAGAGTTGGTGAATGGAATCTGTGATAATCTCCAGGAGAGAGATATATAACACAATGATATAGTTCATTGGCAGGATTTTTTAACAACTTTTTCTGGAAGTCATCGTCAGATAAGGTACAATTGGAACCAAGAAAACCCTTTAAAGAATAGGTGATCCCTTTAACCTGTTCTAAAACACCTGATTCCACTTTCCCATAATGTAACACTTTACCATCAGCAGGACTAGTCTGAAATACATATTAAATTCTTTACACATTGTAAAAGTACAAAAATATTCAATTATGACAAAATTTGTGAATGGAATTACACTCATAACTGCTGAATAATTCTCATAATAAATGCTTTCAACTGACCAGATTAGTTTTTAAACTAATATAAGAAATGGAATTCAGACAGAGGATACAAGACAATAGGCATCACCACTCAGAAATGATTATATTGTGATAAAGTAGGTATTCTAAAGAGTCCATGATTCTTACAAGTTACAGGAATAACAAAAAAAACCTTTTGTAATAGAAATGGCATTCATTCCTTAGTTGCTAATAAAAGGAGAACTTTCAACTTACAATATGATGATCAAGATCAACAGGACGGACATGTGGTTTTAACTGTCGTCGAAAAAATTCACTTAAATTTCTGTAGGCTTTCAAATCTTCTTCAACTGCTTCATCTAATTTACAACCAAACATCCATATATACAAGCCAATTACAGGCTTTCTTAAAAAAACTGGAAGATTTAGCTCATTTATCTGACCCCATAGTCTGGACAAGGCTTTTAAAGGCATCTTTCTGTATAATGTGACCTAGAAGATAGCAATTGCAGGAAAATATGAGAAAAAGATTGTTGTAAAGTTTCAGGACTAAAAAAGCTTAAATATAGAACATAATCATGCTTAAAGAGATTTTATAGAGGTTTACTAACATTTATAAGCGTTTGACGTCACTAATCGCAAAAAATGGGTGTATCACAAGTTCAGCAAGATGAGTATATAAAGTTTCATGTCTTTTCCAGTAAACCAAATGGTTTTCTTGTTCAGAATCTGCCTGTGCATGTGTCAAATACTTGTGTCACCTCAATCTCATTATCACAATAACTTGGATCCCCAATATCTACGAACAGTGCTATTTTGGCACATTTAGGTGACAACTCTTGTGTCATTATCTGGTACTGAAGTAAGATAGCTGACTGATTAGTTTCCAAATCTTCTTGTTTGGCATTTTGCTTTAAGTAGTGCAATTATTTTGTGCATTAAATTAGGTGTCATTTCTAATGAATTATTTTCATTCATTTTAGACAAGGAAGAAAAGTTTTTATTAATGCACCTATTAACTCCAGTGGGTTAACTTAATTGGGGTTTTGTATAAAGTGGCGAATATATCAGTTGACTTAAAGTGGAGCTTTTCTTGCACAGCTGGCACATTCCAAATCAGTAGAAGCAGAGGTCTAGGTCTATTTTTAATAATAGATGTGGGAGACATAAACTAAACTTAACAATAAAAATTTAACACATATTTAACACAAATAATATAATCTATCATAATCAACTACCATCTATTTTATTTGATCAAGAAATAATCAATTAAAAAAATAACATTAAAGATTTCAGTCTGATTTCTCTCTCTTTCTGAAACAGCTGCTATACTTGATAAGATTTAACACAAAATAATATACATTGTCTCATTTTTCATTTTAGAACATACAAGCCAATGCTATCAATTTTTTTTTAGAAATCTTATCAAAATAGAGCAAAATTCTCAAAAATAAGAGCATTAATAGAGCTATAAGTGATCTGATAATATTGTATCAGTCCTCACACATCTGAATGTACCAAGTCAATTTGATTCATATCACCATAACTGTTGGAAGTCCATTAATTATTGATTAAAACAAAGGTTGCGATCAATGAGAATTATAATACAGGCATCATATCATTCCAATATTTGATATGTATCTGAAGTTTGGAATACAAAATACAAATAGCATACAGAATAAAAGTATACAGCAATTTCCTAAATTTTACCATATATATTCATAAGCAAGCAAATTCAAGAGAGGGACGATTTCTCCAAAAGCAAATCTTTTTTTGTGCACAAAATTTGCACATCCACTTTCAGGACATCATTAAAATTGAAGACACATAGTAATTATTCTTGGTATATAAGCTGCCAATCAACACCTTATACTCTAGTAGCAAATGAGTTCTGAGTTTTGATAAATATAAAGATGACATCAAATAATATTGGATTAACTTACGGTTCTATTTAATTTACGTTTTTTCTTGATGCTATTTTTGGGTGATATACTTCGATGTTTTTTCTTAAGTGATGACAAGGCACCAGGCCTTCGTAATTTTCTAGCGAAATGTCTGTGAAATGCTACAAGCTGATGAAGCAGTTTAAGGGGCACACCCCATTTTAAACCTTGGATTATGAGTTCACGAGAAGTAACTTTACATATTAATGACCAGATTTCTTTGGAATAGTTCAGCCTCTGGATAGTTGCATAACCTCTTCGATGCAAACTGCTAGCAATGATGGCAACAACCAGAGCTGTATACAGAAGAGCATGGTCCATTTCTTGAAATATAGCTAAGGATGTCATCATGAGCATGTGTGTTGACTTCTTTAGGAATGTTTTCATCTAGACCTGAAAAAAGATTGAAAATTAATTATAATCACTGCTCTGCTTCCTGAGCCCAAATCAGTTGCCTTCAATCCCTGAATCCAAATCAGTTGCCTTCAATCCCTGAACCCAAAATCAGTTGCCTTCAATCCCTGAACCCAAATCAGTTGCCTTCAATCCCTGAACCCAAAATCAGTTGCCTTCAATCCCTGAACCCAAAACAGTTGCCTGCATTTCCTGAATCAAAATCAGCTGCCTTCAATCCCTGAACCCAAATCAGTTGCTTTCATTGTCTGAACCAAACTCAGTTGCCTTCATTCCCTTATCTAAACTCAGTTGCCTTCATTCCCTTATCCAAAATCAGTTTCTTCAAATCATTAACACAAAATCTTCACAATTATTTGAAATTGAAAGATGATTTTTAGTTGAACTTTGTTCCCTAAGTTATTGAAGTTAAACTCAAAAACTATACACAAGATATAAATAGGTACAACTAATATCATTGTCTGAACTATAACTAAAATCAGTAAGAAATCATGTACAAACTGTCACTGTAACAAATCAGGAAATAGTAAAAAAAATGTAAAGTAGTAAATGTCATTTCTTGTGCAACATTCAAATTACGCATTTGTCTGTTACCTTTTAAAAATTGGTTGAAATTTATAAATCAATTAGTCTAAATGAATAAATGTACTTATAAACCATATTAACTTTGTGGACCCTATAACTAATCCAGTTACAGAGTGGCAGCAGGTGTTCTGGAAGACTTAGCATACCCTGCCTCACTAGCAACACCAAGCACTATAACCTTTAGTGGATTTAAAATACAATACATAAATCAACAATCATATTTCAAACAATAATACTAATGATGTTATTATTACCAAATTTACAATAATAAAATATTTTCACTATTTTCAAATAGTGCTCAATGCATCAATTGAAGAACCATATAGAAATATTAAATATATTTCATACAATTACTTTTCTCAAAGTATATCTGTTAATGATACAAAATTGTCATAATCCACAGAATTCAATATCCTCTATATACCACTGTTAAAACTTATTCATAATAATAATAGTTATACGGACCACAATGTTTCTAATATATCAGTACAAAGTCCTGTTTGTTAATTATCACAGTAATTATGATTATAAATGACTCTTCTGCCATATATCATAGTCAATATGACATGAGATAAAACTTCTATAGCAAACTGTATGGGTGGTACATTGACCTCTGCTTGCCAGTGCCATATTATTGCCATCAGCCTATGTCGAGTTGCGGTCAGATGTTTCTATAAACTAGGTTTTGTCTTATTTTTCCTATTTTGTGAGCGATATTCAGTAGTAATGGCAGATGTAGTGCCAAGCAGGGTATGCTTTCACTTCAAGACACCAGATATCATTTGTATTGCCGAACTATTGTATTGGATATTGGATATTTTTTTGCACTATGCAGTTATCAATAAATCCTTATAGACGTGTAGCTCAGCTCATTTTAGATTTAAGCCTCCAACCCTTCGCACCACCTCAAAGAAAGATTAATCAACATGCATTTGAAACATTGTTTCACATTGACAAGCAGTAAACTGCCGTTTTTTCATAATGACGTCAGTTAATCTATCTTTAGCTTGTAAAAGAAATGATCATTGTTGTGAAAATGTCAATGAGGCCAATGTTGACTAGTTTGTTTCAATGAAACCATTTGACCAATAGGAATTTTGTACTGAAATCAGGTTTATCATACACAATATCTACTAAGTCACGTTACTAAGACATATTCTATTGGTTAAAACAGACAATTATCTTATCAGCATTAAAGTATATAAATTTGTTTAGTAGCTAATATTTTCTCTGTTTTAAAATATCTGGGATAAGAACGAAATAGGTTTCATCAAGAGTTGACTTTTTAAGGTATATCAACCTCATACTTTTTTTTTTTTTGCGTTTTTTAATAATGGATAGGAAATCAGAACTGTGCAAATAAAAGCTATAAGTAAAAGCTATAAATAAAAACTAAAAATAAAAGATAAGCTCCTGTTCATAAATGCTGCTTTTTCTAAAATGATAGCTTTTATTTGCACCTTTTTGATATCTTTATGACTGTGATGACTGTAATTTCAGAATAAAATTAGACTTATGAGAGATACTTAATTCATTCTTTGGTCAAGTTTATCTTAACCACAAAAGCCAGAGGGGAACTTAAATGGTGCAATTAGTGCTTGTCAATTTCCTAACCACCTTAAGATTGCTATGGCTTGTCTATGATTTGTGATACTTGAAAGTGTCTCAGACTGGATTGTCTAAGGTGATGATTTTTTATCAGAACCACATGTCAGCAGCTTTCAAATAGAGTAATGTTTTAAAATGTATGATCTGATATGATCATAATTGATTGGATTGTAGAAAAGTTTTCTAAATTTTTTATGTGTTTTAGCATTAATTTGCACCATTCCAATTTTCAATCGGACGTCTGTGGTTCCTGCAATTCCATAAATACCAAGTGCTACATGACATCACTAATCGCAAAACATAAAGCCGTTTGTGACGTTATCAACACTTTGTTTTAGAGGAATTGCAGTAACCACAGACGTCTGATTAAAAATTAGTATGGTGAAAATTGATGCTATGATTTTCCCTGATACACATAAATTTTTTTACAAAAACCTCTGTACAATCCATTCTAATATAAACATATGTAATTTCTACTATTATACAAGAATTTAATATCAAATTTCGTGAAAGCTACAAAAAAAAATGTTTCAAAAAAAATCCCGCCCAAATCATTAAATTTTTAATAATCTTTATCCAAATGGGCTCAATAGAATTGTTTCACTGATAGAGCAACAAGATTTAACTTTTTGTCACTGGCAACAAATTTAGATATAAGTGTGAGTTTGTCTTACATATTCAAACTGAAAGCAGTCAATTTCAGCTATTTCTTTCACTTTAAGAATAAAAATCTGATATTTGGTTTGTCTATGTTTAAAAAATGTCAATCTAAATTTGGAGCTTATATTCACGTTCTGCATGGTAGAATGTCATTTACTCTTGATACTAAAACTATCATCACTTTCAATATCTTTCTACTGAAATCATCAGTCCATCTAAACCAACCATACATCATATTTTCCATCTTAAAAAAATGAAGACAATTGAAAGTGGGCTCTATCA